GGTGACTGGACTAAACGACCCCGTGTCTTGGTTCGAAATTTGACATTGAACGTAAAGCTTCTGCACTGGGAAACAATATTTCTGGGGACACAATAGGAGAACTGTCTGGAGACACAATATCCTAGCAAACCCATGGGACGAAATATGCTGTGAAAAGAATCAACCGTGACTATCGAATCGTAACGTACGCTTCCTTTTTTTCGCTTGAAATGGAAATAATTTTTTTTTAATCGTGAAATAAAGTTTTTCTTTTTAATGCAAGTAAAATATTTTTCCATTTACTTCCGATTTATGGCAGCGGCGGGATTTTTTTAAGGGAGGTTTTAATGCGATGAATCTTTCTACAACTTCCTAGGCCTACTACGGAAGCGTATATGACCATCGAGTAACTGCGTTACTCAGATAAAATATCTTGGACTCCTCTTAAATGTATGAAAACTATTTGACATCGCTTTTTGGTTAATTTGATTGAAAAGTGTGTGAGAGCACGGCGAGGACGAAGAGGGGCAATAAAACGTGTATAACTTGAACAGCTGATAAAACGGCACGAACGAGGTACGTAATTCCTGCCGTGTACCTCCGTGCTTCAAAGTATCTCGTTCGTGCCGCTTAATCACCTGTGCAAGTTACATACTATATCGCCCCTCCTCGATCCCTCCGTGCTCTCATCTGTCATGGCTGTAAGTAATTGCTGGATGACTTAGACCCATCCATAATTTGTTTCAAATGACGCATTCATACATGATCCAACGAACCCGTGTTACTGAAGCCTTTCAAACTACAATCGATCTCATTTTCAGCTCTCACCCGGAGCTCATAAAGACTGCGGTATCGTTCAGGTTTTAATAAGTGACCACAATCTTGTTTAATAATGCTTTACATGTACGTACAGGATGAGTAAAAAAAAGCGGAACCCAAACCCAAAAAATTATATTTCATATTTAAAAAAATGTGAAGCACCAAACATAATGACTGGAAAGCCAATTTCATAAGCTACTTTTTGATAAATACTGAAATTGCTCAGTCCGTTCAAAGGATATCACCATTTAAACGCAATTACCCTAAAACCTCTTTCGTCCAAAAATGCGATTTCAAGAATCGTCATCACAACAGGTATTCTGTGTCATTTTCTTTGTTGTTAGAATACAACAATAAACTGGTGTTTTTTATTTTTTTACGAAACTGGTTTTTAGGGTCATTGCGTTTAAATGGTGATATTCTTTAAACGGATTGAGCAATTTCAGTAATTTGTTTATGTAATTGTTTTTTGAATCATTATTATGTTAGGTGCTACATATTTTTTGAAATATAAAATATATTTTGGGGGGTTTGGGTTCCGGTGTTTTTTTAATCACCCTGTAGTTGGAAAAGGGCGTTTAATTAATTTTCGAAGTTTTAAAGATATAGGCCCTAGACAAAGTACATTGGCAATGCTATTTAATGTACCTTGGCAACATGTCCTACTTACTACTGTTGTGATGTTTACGAAGCGTGGTCTATCTGGCACTCATTATTATTAACTTCCATACACGCACCAGTTAAAACTAAACGTATAATTCGAGGTACCTCCGATTGGTTTGACGGCGACTCATGCGGCAGCGTGATCGCGCACGCATAATCGCTAAACGCTCAGGCTCACAAATCCATTGGGATTCTTACAAAAAGCTGCGGAACACAATAACTAATGAAATCTGCACGAGAAAATAATGAATATTTCACATCAGCCACAGAGGAAAGCAATTCGTCTATGCTATGGAAAAAAAAAGCTAAAGGAGGTTCTTTTGAAGAATCAAAAAAGTATTCCAAATTCTATCCTTTCCCCAAATGGGGAAAATATTGAAGATCCTGCTGACATTGCTGATACATTAAATGAACATTTTGTCTACAATCAGAAAACGTCTGGCAGGCAATATGGCCCTCCGTGCGAGCCTTAAAAATACGACAGTACTAACGCCCCTATCTAGTTATCTTTGATTCTCCCGATGATGAATGCGTAGTACCTAATACATGTATTACAAAAGAGTTCGTTCAAAAGCAAGTATCATCATTCAGGATGTCATAAGTGTTAAAATGATTAAAATAGCTTCTCCGCATATAGGCTAAATAATTTTTTTTTTTTACATGTTTAGCGTCCCCGCCCGTTTCCTTTTTGGAGGTCGCCTCCATTTTTTAACGAAATAAATGATAATTTTTAAAAAGTGACATCATTTTGGCCTCTTTGTCTGTTGCATGTAACCCATATAAAGCTGGTTTGTCATTTCCCCAGTCCAAGGGGCGGCCATCTTGAAAAATAGCCCGGTCGGGAGGCCATTTTGGACCCCCCCCCCCTCAAAAAGGGCCTCCTCCTTCCTTTTTTCATAAAGGTAGGACGCTAAACACTTTCTTTTTCATTTGGCCGTACCAACAAATTTAACTCGTATCTTTAACCGGGTTCGGGGGCGATATGGTTGGTCGTGATAACGCCCTCTCGTGGCAGCGGGTTAAAGCGGCCGCGGGTTATCAACACTGATCTCTATACAGGGTGTATCAAAAAAAAGTATACACTTAGAGAAATGTATCTAAAAAGGATGTTTTATAATTTTTCAAAAATTTTTCACTAAATATTGATGGAACAAGGTCTCACGCTTTAATTGCCACCATGTCAATCTTCAGCTGTTCCGCATGAGTGAACACTAGCTATTTACTTTCACCAGATTTCAATTGGCTTGCGCACAAAAGTGAAATGGTTAAAACATAATCAAACACCGTGGTAGGGAAGTTAAGGCATGTGCTTTGTTGCTCACAAATTTTCAAGAAAATTGGATTAACCCTTAGTCCTCCAAAGAAATGGTGGCCACGTCGAAGACTGAATCGTGCATGCATGAAGTGCAAACGTTGCATTCCCTCATGACGAGTACCATTAGGCCTAATCATTGACTTGTAAGGTCATGCTGTTGTTAATGTTTTGAGGAAGGCGCAACTTGAGTCCAAACTTGGTGGGCCTGTGGAGGACTAAGGGTTAATCCAATTTTCATGAAAGTTTGTGAGCAACAAAGCACATGCCTAAACTTCCCTACCACGGTGTTTGATTATGTTTTAACCATTTCACTTTTGTGCGCAAGCCAATTGAAATCTGGTGAAAGTAAATAGCTAGTGTTCACTCATGCAGAACAGCTGAAGATTGACATGGTGGCAAATGAAGCGTAAGACCTTGGTCCATCAGTATTTAGTGACATATTTTTGAAAAATTATAAAACATTCTTTTTTGATACATTTCTCTAAGTGTATACTTTTTTTTGATACACCCTGTATAAAGACTGGATAGCTAATAAAGAGCCGCACAATGAACGAATTTGACGCCATATTGGTGAGACCGGCTGGTGATCTACAAAGGACAAGTTGCCGTTTTTATAGACAGCATGATTTCTTTTGTAACGTCGCGGTTCACTTGACTTATATTTTGACCACCACCACTGACCAAGGTTAACTACAATTTTTTAACGTCGTGGTTACTAAAATGCCGCAAATATCACTTTTTCGGCGTTTTGAAATAATAATTACTACGGAAATGTGTCCCTTTTAGAACATCATAATATGTGTACGTGACCAAAATGCGCTTCAACTGTTGATACAACGCGCACGTATTTACGCGTAGAACATTCGTATTATACGCGGCCATCTTCGTGAGACCGGGGGCGAATTGGTCAATATGCAAAGTCTACTGTGTGAATGTTGTATGCATATCCGCTATCCAGTCTTTATATAGAGATCAGTGGTTATCAAGTATTAACCAATCAACTTGAACGTTAGCCTTGGTCAAGGAGCTCGTCGTTATTCATTTGTACGCGAAAACGATCGGCGGCATATCCTTGCTCTAAGGGTGCACACCGGTAAATAGGCCTCCATCCGCCGAACTCATGAATAAAAGTTATACCCTCAAAATATTATATATTAGAGAGTTCTGAGAGCCATAACATTGGGGAATTGAAGAGATATGGCAATGAACCTCTAGCCCGGACTTGGGGCTTCCAATTCTGAGCATTTTGGATGCAATTGGGCTCGAAAGTGGCGCTATTTTGCCATGTTGTTGAGGGATCGTTTTTCAAGATGGCTACCGTTCCGCTTTGGGGAAAATAGGGGTCGTCTTCGAAGCTTCTTTGGGCGAGAATTTCTCGAAAAGTCAATGGTCAACCCACCAAAAAATTGAAAAGAAAATGAAAGATGACAGTCATGCCATTTCTGTGCAGCTTAAATATCTGTGAGAGTTCGAATAATTGTAAAAGAATTTTGAAGCATGGGCATTTAGCACTAGTGTCTATGAGAATTTTAATGCAGGAGTGCACCCCTAAGCATGCAATGCATTAAAAATACAGCGCGAACAGCGACCTCATGCGGCCACTTTTTTAATGCAAATCAGTTGGACCTGATCGAGCGCCTTGGTTCAATCGTCGGCAAAAGCTGATATTTTTTCCCCTTTATTTTGCACTAGATTTCTAGCGCAGACCTCGTACGCGAATACAGATGAGTATAGGCGGGGCTAATATGTGGAGTGTCCAATCACACCTTGGTAAATCCGTCGTCATCAAATTTTTTGCAGCTAATCGCCTTTTGCGGACGTGTCAGAAACCACATTTGTTTGTGCATTGGTGACGTGTGTACTGAGACACACAACGTGTGTATAATGTATATTAATGTACATGTACAGTACATCGCTATGAACTTTCACCGCTCTGCAAGTTTCCTCGCAACCGATCGACCAATAAGAAAACGACTTTAAAGGTCAGCTTAGGCTATTAGCATAATGAGCACCACCCCCAAAACCTCACATGGACGATTGAACCAAGGCGTTCGATCAGGCCCAACTGATTTGTTCGCTGTTCGCGCTGTATTTTTAATGCACTGCATGCAAAGCGAGGATATGCCGCCGATCGTTTACCGCGTAGGCTAGACTAGTTGACTGGTCCATAAGCTGGCTAATTTCAACATACGTCAGTCATTGATACAATCCAGAATTGTTTGATATTGCATTTAAAATACATTGTATTCGTTTTTTTAATGCAACATGATACAAAGCAAAACTGCAAAACTCAATATCAAGTTTCAACATCCAACCTAAAGGAATAGTATTAATAAGGTTCCCACTATTAAAAGTTGTAAATTCAAAATACAATTGTAACAAATAATAGAAAACAAATTCTACACAATTTCCTTTTAAGATATATAATTGATGAATTTTACATGACGTCAGTCGGTGGTCACCGACCCGCCCGCCATATTGGACGTATACGGAGTAAATAAACTGCCATAGACCCCAGTAATGAATAAGCCCGCTTTCAAAATTCATGAAAACCACTCACAACTCTCAGCTAGAGCGTCCAAAATGGCGGATTTTCACCAAAATTAAGCAAACAGTTTTTGATGTTGCAAATGCATTTTTCTAATATAAAACTTTGAAAATGAAAGTACACTGTACATTTATCAGAATTATTGGCTTTTGTAATTATATTATATTTCTTAGGACTGTTTACGTTACATAATTTGGCATGATATACAGAACTGGCCCTACGTTTTGACCATATTTACTTTCTACCAAGCACTGTAAATTAAATATTTTTTGGTGTAATAAAAGAACATTCTAATAAATGTATTCAAATCGCCGCACGATCGGTTTTCATTCCTTTATCATTTCCAAGTTGGAAATTCCATCAGTATGAATCTATAACGATAAATTGTAGCAATTAAAAATGTACATGAAAATATTACAGAGAAACTTAACAAGTTATTTCAGTTCAGATCTAACCAAAAAAATCGAAAACGTCATGGATAAAAGCTATGATATAATTAAATTACATGTAGAATAAAACTCATTGACCGATATAATGATCCAAATCAGCCATTTGATAGTTTTTTAATGAAGTGATCTATACAAGTTTAACTGGTCCATAAATTTCAGTGCTAAATGATTAGAAAAGAGAATGGAGGCTGGAATTGTATTGGTCATAATTTAAGTGCACTTGCAAAATACTTTTGCAACTGAACTCAAAGGCAGAAATCATTTGAAACTATAGCATCAAAATGTCTCGCCCTGTTTTACAATATTAAGTACAATTCAGAAAAGTAAGCAGTTAGCAGCAGCACCAAGGTTTTAAAAAGTTACATGAGGAAAGGCATCCAGCATGAAAATGACAACTAACAAAACTTACAAATTGATAGGCGAAGGACATCAGTGAGACCCCTTTTTGAACAGGACTGCAAACAGCTTGTTTAAAGAAACCCCGTTTCTTTAGAAGTTTCCAATTTTTCAAGGTGGGCGTAGAGTTTAAGGTAGTTGTCATGTGAGGGGAAAATTGCACAGGAAATTCTACAAAATTCCAGCCCACTCTTTTGACTGCTGCCTTGGTTTGTAGATTTTTTTTAGCTATAAACCTGGGTAGTGACTAATGCCTGTGAAAAAAAAATATATTGGGGTTTTTCAAGGGAACAGGTTTGAAAGACACGAACAGTTTTGAGAAACCAAGAGTACATAGAGCTATAATAACTATGTTTCGTCCTGTACATGCTAATATGTTCATTAAGCCATGTAGGGAAAAACTTAAATCAGTTCATAATAGATTTCACAGCTTGTTTTGTCAGGTCCACTAAATGATCAAACATGCTCATCAGCAGACGATTTCACAAACTTTGCGCAGTGGCATAACTCCCCTTGAGCCACACTTTATTATGCAAGTTGCAAGACATTCGTGTTGCACAACATTTCAGTTATGACACATTTAACAAAAGTTGCACAATTGACTTACGCAACAAATTATTGTGTGATTTATGCTGTCATATTAGGTGGTGTAAGTTGTTTAACAGTGAAGCACTGTTAAACCTGTTATTGTTGAGCTTATAATTTCCAAAATGGTGGGTGGAAATGATTCAAATACTGTTTCATGATTGAACAGAAATAATACACAACCAGTGTTGAAAAAGCCATTGTCTTCATCCATAATTTTTGAATAATTTAAAACGCTGCGCAGCTACATGTGCCAAGTTTCATGAAATCGATTGTAAGTTTATTGCGCAGCTATGCAACAAATTTGTCACGTTATTTCTACACATGGCGTAATCAGCTGATAGAAATGTTATAATACCAACTAGATTTGGATTCCATCACTTCACTACACAAGCATCATTTTCAGAATCGTGTATAACAATTTCACACTCGTTACTTTGAAAGTTGGCATGCTGAAATGGAATTCACATAAAATACACAGAACACAATGTGTTAAAAATCCCATTAACCAATTATTTTGGCAAGCGTATTATGTAGGTATGTATAATAGCTCACAAAAAGCACATTAACGTGTAATTATATTGCGATACCATCATTGGTTACATGACATCATTGGCTACATTAACTTGTAACTAGACATTTGATCATGTTCATCATGTGTCAAGATGGAACTTCACTTTGTCCTCAGGAGGGCATTTCTGCAAAACTGACTTTATTCTGAAGTGGTCGTTTCTCCATGTGATCGTGGAACGACTGAAAGAATCACTCCATTGGGAGGCGTTATGAAACCCATCTTTCCAAGTTTTGGAGGAATCTGAGAAAAATACATAGGAAATTGTATTAAATTGTATCGTAAAACAATTAGCAATCTATAACTTTTTTTCAGATTATGTCACAAATTTGGTTTCCATATTAAGTCTTGATAATTCATTATTAGGTTTTGCCCTTCATCCGACGTAAAAAACACTGTATACTCGGTGCGTTACCTCCCGAGCGAATGTTGGAAAAATCACTTGGGAGGGACTCGAACCCATGACCTTCTCAGTGCTTTCTAGTGCAGACGTCTTAACCCTTAACCACCGAGCTTGCGGGATCAGTTGGCAGGTTCAAATCTGATGTACATGTAGCAGCGGGTACCGCAATGAAACTATTCACAAGATGGAATTTGCGTCAGGGTGATGTAAATCAATATTAGGTTTTGCCCTTCATCCGATGTATAAACGCTGTATACTCAGTGTGTATTGACACTGTATACTCATCTTATGAAAACTTTTGATAAATTTCTGAAACACTCAAGTACTCATAAAGATGTATACCTTTGTGTTGCAGATGTTGTAAAGGACATTCTTTATTATTTTAATATAATACCAATGAATGTAAGTTTTACTCGTGACTATCTTAGCTACACAAAACCACTGATCTCTGACTCTGCCTTACTGCATAAGGTCTATCCGTCATTTTCTCTAAACCCCTTAAGCAATAAACCTGTTTTACCTCAGTTTCTGCGCATGTCTCCAAGCGGTAGTTTTGCAGCATACGAATCAATGCTATCTTGACCTAGATAGAAACAATTTACAGTCTGTGAATTAGATATCTTCTAGGAGGTGGTGAAAAGAACTTGTTCATGAAAAATTGACATTATTGCAATGCTTTGTAAATGATTTTTGCCTTGAGTGCATTTTGGGTACAATTTATATCTTGTTAATTTTTCATTTTGTCAGGCTAATGTATAAATGAAGCGTCAACCGTTTCAAACATGAAAATGAATGTGAGCTACCGAGGCTTGCTACAATGAATACTGCCCTCACCTGAAGAAGAGCAAAACGCATTGCTACACAATTACGCGGGCCAAATCCGAATGGGAGCCACGCACATGGATGGCGTCTCTCACGCTCTTCCTTTGTGAACCTGCAGAAATATTGTAAGAAATAAAGCTGGGATGAAGTCAGAACTACAGGCGTTGTGGGTATACCGTTCAAATATCGGTCCATTGCTACGATCCTCAGCATCTAGATACACCCACACGAACACAAATAAGCCCCACGCTTGCTTTATGATCAACAGTAATGTTTGTCACTTGCCGGGAAATTCCACAAGCAGTGGTCATGTGCAAGTTACATTTGATTTAATCATTATAATAACTCATGTGTACATTTCTCAGACTGCCACCATTTCGCTCTCTTTAACCCATCAAACATAATTAATTAAGATATAGATTCTGCAAGAGCTGACATCATGGAAGCATGGGACAGGATTGGAATTCCTATTCCCTATCTGGTATTGAGACCTGATGGTAATTTTTTGAGACCTAGATGACTAGGTGTCAAAGACAGAGTCTTTGAGGAGTTGAGATCAGACTGACTGACACTGAGATGGGCAGAGGTCTCAAGACAGAGGCCCTTCAGACTTTCACCTTTCAGGGATGAATTTATCTGGCTCCGTCCACAGCTCAGGATCATGATGAATGGACAAAACATCGAATGCAATCTCAGTGAGTGGAGGCAGTGTAATGCCCTTATATGTGTACTTGCTTGCACAGAATCGAGTAGTCCTGCAGCAAAAAAAAACAGAGATGCATGTTATGCTCCATTGTTTTATTGTGTCCCGGATAGGGTAATATCATTGGTCTGGAGCCATCATTGTGTGAAGCTTTTTAAAACAAAATGTGATAATCATAACATTTACTTCACTAAGATGGTGTCGGGTGCAGCATTTGCATCAATAACTCCCAGCACATCAGATGTGTTCAGACACCCTGTGAAAGATCCTTTCATTTCATGAGTGTGACTCAGTATTTTAAGGTTACATTAATCCATCGGTGCACAGATTATTTGGATTAGATGCACAGATTATTACGTTTCTTGGACAGTCACTATAGTGGCCACCCTATTCCTCAAAGGCTTCAGGAAGTACAGGGTGAACCAAAAAACTTTGCCTTCTCCATAAAAAAAAGATCAGTGGCTTTTATGTTTTGGTTATTAGATAAAAAACTGAGAGCTTTTTCTTTTAAATACTTAAACAATCATGAAAATAACACTCTGGGTTGCTGAGAAAGTGCCAATTACGTGAAAGTAGTCATTTTTTTTCATCCTGTTCACAAAAAGTACCACAATAAAGGGATTTTCACTCCACCTATTTGAGCCTGTCCTAATCCTTACAAACAACACGGCACATACATATGACAAGAGTGCAACTGAATTTAATGGAAATACCTTTTGAACAGGTATCTCATCCTTTTGAGTTCTCTTTTAACCCTAAAGGGGCCGGGTTATTTTGACCATCTCTCAGCCGGGGGGGGGGGGGGCGGATTCCGAAAAAATTTGAAACTCGGCACATGCATAGAGCAACTCTTCCTTAACATACCCAAGAAATTTCATGACTATAGGTCAAAGGGTTTTGGAATTATGGCTAATTAATTATTCATATGTACGAATGGCAATTCTGCTCTGTGTACACGACGAATATGCGAAAATTCAGTTTTCACGGCGCGTAGCGCCGGAAAATTTTTCGCTACGCGACAACCCGTGGTCCTATTTTATGTTTTTGGTATCAAAAGATGCGCAAAGCTCGAGGCTAAAAAGTCATGACAGCTCGGGTCGCGAAAATTTTTTTTTAAGAGGCTATCACGGAAAATGTTTAGGGGGGGGGGGGGGCGGATTCCGCCCCCCGTTAGGGTTAAACCATTTCAGCATCATAAGTACATGTATGTTAAGATATTAAAGATGTTGCACAAATAAAGGATAATTGCACAGTAGGCTTACAGTAACATAAAGGCTTTGAAGTATTTGTGCATGGTATGAAAAATTACCACTTTTACATACATGTAATCGGCATTTTCTCTGCAACCCAAAGTACTATATTCGTGATTTTTTTAGTATTTGAAAGAAACATTTCTCAGCTTGAATCTGATACCCAAAACATACAAATGCACCGATCCTTTTTTAAAGGCAAATGTTTCAGGGTTACATTTTTTTTGGTCAACCTGTACTTCACAATACCAGGAGGAGGAACGGTCCCTGGGCCAGCTTGCCCATCTCTCACTGAAACTCTGTGGCAAGAAAATTCACGTCTAAAACTTCATTGATCAGGTTGAAAGGGTCTTTTCAATTGCTCCTGGATGTTTATTTTCAGCTCCATGATGTTGGCTTGAAGGGTATATGAAAAGAGCCACCTACACCATATTGGGAGGGTAGAAACGCAACGTCTCGCAGACCACCATATCCAGATAGGCCATCTTGAAAACGATGTCATAGGTCACATCATCCCTAGTGGGTGCCATGCTATCTACCTCAGCAATCAGTTTATCTTGGATGTCTGGGTTTGTGGCTAGCAGGTATGACGCCATGCTCAGCGTGGTGCTGGTGGTTTCATAACCGCCCAGGAAAAACAGCATCGCCTGCAACATGGAAGCACAGAGAATACGTAGTTAAAGGACTACGAGACCAGATGGGCAATGGGGACAGTTACTGAGGTGGATAGCCTGGTACCCATGATGTAACCTACAACATCGTAATCAAGGGGGGGGGGGAGAGAGTGGGAAAAAGTCATCACCTCACATTCGCTACTAGTAGTTTAACTATCATTACGAACAAAAACAAATTGAATATGCTCTGCTTTGAACATGTTATGAAGAACACCTATATAGTCAAAATTTGCAGAGGCAAGGTGACTGGAAAACAATTCCCGGCTACCTACATGTGTAAGCTTCCAGTATGGCGTGGTTGTTGGATCGGCAAATTTTATCCCAAACCGTGATTTTGCCCCTTCTCTAGAAAAAAAAATGATCCTGGTGATGCCCATGAACTACGGTACAATACGGTGGCTGGCCAGAGGCAGGCAATTACCTCTGCTAAGGAGGCTATGTTTTCATTGGCGTTGGTTTGTTTGTCTGTTTGTCTGTTAACAAGATAACTCAAAAAGTTATAGATGGATTTTCATTAATTTCTTTTTTTTAGGGGTGGTCCTCAGTACAATGCGAATTGATTAGATTTTGAAAATGATCCGGATCTGAGTCTGGATGCATATTTTTTTTGTAAAGGATTCTGTTGAAGCCTGTTGACATTTTAAATGTGCAATAAAATGTGAAGTCCAGTGGTTATGCAAGGATTTCTTTTGGGTGTACTGACAATATGGCGGGGAATATTTTCCAGCCTTGGCGGAGGTTTGCGCTCTTTGACATTATGACGTCACTATGACATTATGATGAGGTAGAGGATAGTCAACAGCCTCAGGCACAACACAGATGGAACTTTCTTAGGAAGTACGTTTCAAGGAAGAGTTGGGGTGGGATGGGGTCATATCTGAGGTAGTTCTTAAGGTAGGAAGAAGAGAATTCTACCCAATAATTAAGCCGGTTTGGAGCTTATCAGAGTTTGCCGGTTTTGATCACGATACAAACAGGAGATTTGTCAAAAAAAGGGGCTAGGGGATCGATAGCAACCAAACAATCAAATTATATTTTCATGCAATCAAAATAAGATGAAAATACTGTTTTGAAAACAGGGCCCCCCAAAAATAAAAAAATAAATGTTGCAGTCCAACTTTATTCGTTATTTGAATGCAGAGGCAGAATGTTTATCGAATCTTGTGGTTCACCCTTTCTAATTTTGCATGCGCACGATATATTATTTATCCCAAAGAAATAAAATAATGAATTCTTCCTGTGCGCAAGTGCAGTTGGACCATTGGAGTTTACTGCATGTGAGTATTGCATTACCTGGACTCCTGGAGTGCTGTGGCCGCGTGGTTAAGGGCACTGGATTCGTGGTCTGCGGGTAAAGCTGCAGGTTGTGGGTTCGAGTCCAGCCTGGGGTCATGGTGTGTGTGCCTTTGGGCAAGGCACTTTGTCATTCAATGCTTCTCTGGCTACATCGAGCTGTATACTCCCCAGGGAGCTGAGATGGTATTTGGGATGTTTAATTGGCCCGATTATCAGGGGTAATAATAATAACGTAAAGCGCTTTGATCTTAATTAAAAGCGCTATATAAGAACCCGTTATTATTATTATCATTATTATTACCTGAGCCTTGATCTCCTCCATGGTGAGTTTCTTCTCACTCATACTCTGTCTGTACTTGGCTTCTTCCTTCTCTTCTTGTGTAGCCTCCTCCGCAGCCTCATCGGTTGTTGTTTCTTTGTGCACATTCAGCATCAACTGAAGAAAGTCTACTCTCTGTCAAAACCATGGATTAGACTTTGATTACACAATACCTACATGTAAAACAGAAATTGGCATTGGTCAATTTCTTAGGGCCAGCTGACCAGTAAGCATCTCTTACAATTACATTAGAAATTGATAACCACAGGAAATATAATTTAATTAAAATGATTCAAATTTGGGCGAGTCTGAATTCGGAAAAACTGATTTTTTTCTTGTATATCCTACTGATATACGTAGCTATATGTACATGTAACTAAATAGATGTAAACCTGTGGTTTCGTAAATTCATTTTTTCAGTATTTTTTGTCCTTCAATAAAGAGCATAAGAGATTAAAGATGTATTGTCTTTAAAAATTTAATAATGTGGTTTAAATGATCTTTTGGATCTGCCAGTAAAAAAAATCTGCATCAGTTAAGTACAATACGTACATTTATAAAATGTTAAGCAAATTCTAACTAAGAAGGATGATATTGCGTGTCTTTACATTTTGCCTATGATTACATTTTTTTACAAAATATTGAGGGACGAAAAAGTCAAAAACAAAATTAAAAACAAAATCTCCAGACGTCTTCTCTTGTTTACCTTATTTTCAGCTGTTTCTTGTGCTTCAGACTGATGCCTCAGATGAACTGACTCATCCACGACTTTATCAAAGAAGTCAATTGCCTTGTAGTCATATGCAGAGACATTCAACTTGTTGAGAATGAATGTGAATCCGGGGAAGAAAACTGTGGAGAAAAGAAAGAATACACCTTATTCCCGAGGAAGCCATTTTTGATCGTATTCCCTTAATCTATTTTATTAATCTTAATTGTAAACTGCTGAATGGGATGGTACCAGACTTTTTTATAATAGGAGTGCGTGCCAAGCCTCACTTTAAATATATTTTTTAATGTGGCTCAAAACATCAGGCTCTCCTGAGTTTTCCTCAACATCTAAAACTGTCATCTCTTCACCTTGTCTTCCCTTTACTGGGCCCCACAGGAGACCAGTGGATTCCAATGAATGGGCTAGCCAATTAAAGTAACTTACGCAGGATGACAACAGCAAAATTCATGAAGCTGAAGTCGAATATTTTCTTGGAGTTTTCCAGGAAGGGATTGTTAGGATCGTCTTGGCAATTCACTTCCATACCAAAAGCGCAATTTCCAATGGTATCAAGCGTAAGAGAGCCATACAAGCTGGTGATGGGAATTGGAAACAAAAGGATCAGGATTTTGATATACGGGTCTCTTTCCAACCATTTCACTAAGGTTAGCCTAGGAATAGCTTAAGTAACTTTTAAAGGGCACTGGGTCATCACAGAACAGTATTACATGTACATCACTGAACAGTCTCGTGCGGACGTACTGCTGTGTAAAAGTTATGATTACGTGAGTTCAGTGTGGGTCACTTATACTGACCTCCGTAATTCACATGAGAAGGCTTACATGCATGTATGGTTCGTGAGTTTTTCCACAACCAGCCGTTGTTGGGTTAAACAGTTAATAGCAGGGCGCCCTCACAAGAATCTGAGAAAGCAGGATACGGTTAAACAAATGACTTTCCACAGGCCAAATTTAATCGAAGTGCGGACGCTCAGTAGAAACAACAATGACATGTTAAAGATGCCTTCCCAATGCAATTATGTCTGTGAACTTCAGTTGAACTCCATCGGCGCGGCTGGTATTAGACTAGTACGTAATCGGCCGGGTTGTGACAAATCTAGCGACTTGACGATTACGTTCTCGCACCGTTATTCGTATATAAAATGGTGAACCGCAATCATTCGTTCTGTTACATGGGGAGTTCTTCTCAATACGTCAGGGGCATGTTTGCAGATCTGGCGATGTTTTAACGACCAATACACTCAGCTTGGTCAATTGTGTATAGAAATAAAATGGAGCATTGTGAAATACTTGATTTATTTGAGTGTATGCCCTATAATTAATTTTGTTGTTACACGACATGAAGTACAAACCTTCGGAGTATTGAGAATGATCTTCCATGGCGGCCTAGAAATCACTACGGAATCTGAACCAATCAGAGTGCTCGCATAGAATTCGCTAGCGATTCAAAATACTCCCATATGTTGTGTACTCAATTGAAAACGTATTGGCCAAGTTGGTGATTTATCATCAATATGTAGTCAGCATCATTTGACCTGGGATCAAGACTACGCACGTTGCAGCGATATTTTGCTTGCGTGGAGTAAGTAATCGGTACCGTATGCAAAACAAATACCGACTTGGCACCAAGTCTACTGCATGTACCAATTTATCCTTGGAAAGTTCATATTTAAACGTAGTTTGCAACTTACTCCTTGCATTGGATGTTTTTGCCCTCTCCGTGAAGTTTTGCAACAATCTTAATAGTGGGATCCAAACACTTGTTGATGATAGGTGCCATCTGTGAGGCAAAACGAAAGTACTCAGTACATTGTCCAAAGAGCGGTTATATGGCTGCTTAGCAGACTGGCAATGAAGTCAGTCACAAGTCAAATCACACGTTGTGTCACATAACTGAGAATCAACAATTAATGGCACAGGAATTCCTTTGTCATAGTTCATTTGGATCGACTGTAACTTGACTTGAGACTGGGTGACTTGTGATAAGTTGTGATGACTGGTGACGACTGGTGATGACTTGTGATGACTTGTGATGACTTGTGATTGACTGAGCTGACTGGAAGTGATCGAAACAGAGTTCCGCAGAGCCCAAAATTAAAGATCAAGCCTCAAGACGAGGCTGGCTATGGTTCTGGCTTACCCTAAAATTTGTCCTGAGATTAATCAGCACAGATTGACGGCATAGATAAAACACTGCTTACCTTAGATAATTAGTGCGAATCAGCAATGTTGACATTTAGTTCAACTACGTATTATCATCCTTGGATAAATCATTGTGTGTAGAGGCTAATTAGTTGTGGGACCTACCAGTTTCATTTTGGAGGCACTGAAGGTTGGACTGATGACAGAACGCACTCCCTTCCAGTGTTTATCTCTCAGGCTGAGCAGAGATTTGTCAAAGGGTCTGCTCTCAAAACCCCTTGGCTATGAAAAAAACAAACAACACAAGAAGATTGATTTACAACATATTCTGAAAAGAGGGTGTAATAAGTTGAATCCAAAATCCTGGGAGATTTTACGGGAATACAGTACATCTGGGCACCATGTAAATGACCTAGGACACGTGCATGCACATTCTCTATTTTGGATTTAGGCTCGTCCAGTCAAGGGCAATAAATAGACTCTATGAAAGGACAGAAATTATTACAATTTGCAACATACTGAAAATATTGCGAATTGATGACTACAGTGTATAATAAAAAAACAGATGTTTACCCATCAACTTTCAATTTAATTGGTCATGCAGATAACATACAAATGGGTAAATTCTAACACAGGAGTCTGTGACTAGACTAGTCAGTATGTGGTACATACCAAGACATTCACATGAAAAGTGAATTGGTGAGAATTATATTTCTATAATAATAACTTGGAATTTAACAAAGGGGAGTATACTCTAGGTTTTTATCACGGCAGTGTTCAAGCAAGTGGAAAACATCAGAAAACAGAAATCGTTTGGGGTTTTTAGTCTTGGAAACCAAACTACTTTAATTCTAGCATGTACCTTTCTATTTGTGAAGATGGCAAAGTCTTTCACACATATCTGCTGCACCCTGTCAACATCTGATATCATGATCAATGGTCTACGTCCAATATACATCCTAGCGATCAAAACCAAGAAAACGGCTGTCAATTCGTATCATACATTAATATTGTCATCAAATATTAGAAAATGGTCACAAAGTTTCCCCTTTATACTCGATGAATATTTTAACGTAACTGTTCATGTGTGTGATTAATCCATTGCAGCTGATATTTTGTTGATCTGTAGTCTGAAATTATTATTTTGCCAAAAATCTAAATTGCTAAGGCCAAACAAATCATGCTCTGTTTCCGACTGTCAGCTCTGTAAACCCGACTGACCGTTACAATTTGGGTATGCAAAAGGTCGGAGTTTTTACCAGTTTGCGTTGGAGGACATGACATACATGTAAGGCCAAAAAATAAAATAAAAAAATACTCGGTCTCTGGTCAGCGCGCGCGTCGATTTTAATCATGCGCGTCAAACTTTTTTTTCTTCAAATTAACACGGAAGCTACAACAGCGCCCTCTATTGCCACACCCCCTCAAATGTGTGTACAAAGGAGCACCAAGGAATGGGTAAATTGCAACAAGGCAAATGATAAAGGGCACCAAGGCAAATTTTGGAGGACACCGATGTATAATGAGGACACAAAAAAGCAAAATAGTACCCCTTGTCTGTACAATTCAAGCTTGACAAAAAAAACCCAGCATCAATTCCGGAACTTCGGTCTGACCAGAGACCGATTTTTTTTTTTTTTGGCCTAACAAGCACTGGCTGTTTTTAACACAGGCACGACTGACGCGTTAAAACATCAATATTGCCTCGACTCGCCTCCCGGTGACATCTAAACACGCTAACCCCGCGTATGTTTTGTACACACACAAAGTCTGTGAAGTCTGTGGAGGCAGACCGTGTGCTGATCTTGAATTGGCTGATGGGCACAGCCTATTGTTCTACAGTTCACGCTACAGTGCATACCTGGAGTGTTGAACATACATGTACATGTATAAGGTTTCAGCAAGAAATATCGTGCAAATACTGTTGAAACGACTCTTGTGAATCTGTATTTGTGGCGTTTGGTTGTATATCAGAAGTTGGCCGAAAAAAATTTGAAAAATCAAAATTTTCGGCAAAAAATAATCCCTGCAAGTGGTGGTAAAAATTTCTTTATTGTTGATCTTTAAATTCTTTTTATTAATACATGTGCAATTTTTATTAAGGGAATAACAGTGTGAGGAGCCGGTCTTCACTGCGTGATAATGACCGGTATCTTTATTGCATATGACCACTGAGGTCCAGGGTATGAACTTCTGCTGCCGTAGTGAAACAAATTACAACAATTTTTTTCATATTTTTACCTGATGGAGGAAGCTGAAATCTCGTTTACACATTCCTTGTGTCCGGAATTACAAAGATGCTTGGTTTAGGAAAGGTAAATATGTCGGTGGGTGAAGTGTTCAAAGAAAATAAATCGTAGATCTACGCTTTCGTCGTAAACATCCTCAGTATATACTGCACTGCTGTACGCTGTCGTTTCAAAACTTCCTTACGCGCGCGCATGCACGCATCCCTAGCAACTGTGTTGCGTACGCGCGCGTCAGTCTCACGCGATGGGGGTTGAGCGCATGTACAGTGCTCAATTGTTAAAAGCTACCGCAGGACTGTTACTACATTTTGACCAATCATTAGCTTGCATGGGGCTGAACGGGGCTTGATCAATGCTGGTTCAGGGGCCATTTATTCGCTTGATCTTTGAAGCCGGTCCATTATCACCGTTAATGACCGGCCACGTGATCGAGTCTCGACCAATCAGAAACCATCAACTCTCCAAGGTATTTATTAATCAGTGATAAAAATACCCCAAACATGTCAAGTGCAAGTCCAAAATACTTGTCAGTATGCCGTAGAAGTACAATTGTACCTTCTTTAACTCCATGTACACTTTGTATGTCTGCTTGCCCAGTTGTCCTTCAATGTAATGTGTGTATACGTACATGTGTACGTTAAAAACTACTATTCATAAATACCTGTCACGTGGCCGGTCTTAAACGGATGATAAAGACATGGCTGGCTGGTCTTTTCTGACACTCTTCCAGTGTCACATGAAATTTGGACTCAGAGTTATCTGGACGGTTGAATTTCTCACCGCTGGCGCATGGCCGTTGGCAGCCATGTTTAAGCATGGCCTCATGGGATACATGGGAAGTAATCGAACGCACTAATAATATAGGGTACCTTGTTGGATTATGAAGGTATCTGAATGGCAGCATGTTACAAAATGACTTACCCGTAAACCTTGCCAAACTTCTTTCTGCAGTCTTTCGACATAGTTTGAAAGTCCTGTAAAAAAGTGCACTTCATAGGCTCAAATTCCAAATGAAATAAACTGAACTAATTAAAACAATGCCCAATTGCCATCCATTTCTCAACCTCAGTTCCTAATTAAAAGAGTGCATATCAACATCAAATCTTTCACAATTTACATTGTAATTCCTCGCAGTTCTAATGACTGTATCTTCCTTAGCATTGTTTTGTTTTTCTATTAACAAATCACAATTTTTAAGATTTTAAAATTTTAAACCCTGTAAACAGTGGCATATCATCAAATTTGTTTTAAGAGAGATGTGCAATAAGGTCCCCCTCCCCCAACAAAAAATACTTCTGCTTCCGTTTATATGACATTTGAATTAGGGTACATGTAGGTATAGGTAGGGATTTTTTTTTGCCAAATTGTTTGTACATGTATACGATCATATGTAGGTGTCCACGTGCAGTCAACATGGTCAAGGATAAAAGGTACATGTAGTAATTGATGGTTTTTCCTCATTTTTCCAAAAAAAAAGGGTAGGGGCTGTCAAAATACGGTAGGTAGGGTAACCGGAAGCAGAAGTATTGGCCTAAATAAATTATACAGGTGGAATTCAGAGCAATTCACAACCCACCATAAATATACACTTACATGCCTCATCAGCCATAACATATTTCCGAGGATGGGAAGAGGAGTAGGTGACTGAATGCCATATCGTGATAAGAACTGATGACACCAATAGTCATACCTACATGAGGCATAGACATAAACATCTAGTTTTCACATTAGTATTTAGCAAGATGGCAAACAGACTGTTGTTTCACAATAATGGAGCTCACTGCATTTGCAGGCACCCTTCAATGTACCATCTACTGTCAAGGGCGGATCTAGAACACAATTTTCGGGGGGCCAAAAAAAAATTTGGTCCCCCCAAAAAGTGGGTCCAAAAAATTACGGCGTGGGGTTCAGGGCCTCTTAAGGGCCCCGAAATATTTTTGGATTCTAGATGCTCTGTGGTGCGATCTGAGGCGATTTCTGACCACTTTTACCAATGTTTTTTGGAGGAAAAGATGGTGGGGTAACTCATTACCTGCCTTTATTGCGATGTCACATAAAAAAAAAGGTTTCCTTGGGGGGGGGGGGGGAGCATGGCCCCCTTTGGCCCCCCCCCCTGGATCCGCCCTTGTCTATAGTACAGAAATGTACCAGCTGTTGTATAAAGTAAATGCCCCACGACGGATAACCTGAACGAAAACTGCCACAATGCTTTTGCAATGGAAGGAGTCCCCCATATCTGTGTACGGGCGTGTTCATACACATGTATCTCCCTTTCTCTTAATTTCCCCCTTTTATAATAACAAGTCTAGATAAAAGAATTTTGATAAATTTGGTGAACTTTTCCGTTTACCTTTGGTGTTGCGATCTCAGTGAACAGTACTCACTTGGAAAACTCTAGAAGTACATGTAATAGTTATATGATTGAACTAGAAAATATTGTAGGCCCATATTGCATATTTCCCATTCAATTCTGAATACATTTCAGGGGGGGGGGGGCGGGGGGGGGGGGGGGCGGGGGGGGGGGGGGCGGGGGGGGGGGGGGGGGGGCACCGCCCCCCCCCATGAAACCTTGTCGCCCCCCAATTCGCCCCCCCCCCCACTGAGATTTTGAGTTTCTAGAAAAATTTTCATTGATCTACATGACGCCATGGGCCCTATTATGTACTATAATGTATCTTTTGCTTAGAAAATATTGGTTAAAGTGGTCAGAAATTGCCTCAGATAGCACCACAGAGCATTTAGAATCCAACATTTTTCGGGGCCCTTAAGCGGGCCCCGAACCCCACGCCAGTAGCTCAGAATACCGATAACTGATTCAATGTTTCCAACCTCGAAAACGATGTTCAAATAATTATCTTTTGCCAAGAAAATATTAGTTAAAGCATGGAGGAAAGTCGTAAGAAATTGCTTCAAATCACACCACAGAACATCTAGAATCCAATTTTTTTCGGGGCCCTTAAGCGGGCCCCGAACCCCACGCCGTAAGGGCTTCGCCCTTGCATCAGTTATGACCAAGGTATGTCCCCCCCCCCACTTTTGAGAAGCAATTGACGCCCCTGCTTGACGCCTCCCCATGAAATGTTCCAGCCCCCAGCGCCCCCCACTGAAAAATTCCTGGCTACGCCACCGTATATGTACAATGTATGTACTTGTTTATACCTTAAAGGTACAACCTCAAAAGGGATTCTCTGAAAAAACTGAAATGAGAAATCCTGACAAAAAGTCCTGATGAACTCAAGAAAAATCCTGACAACTCTCACGCCCTAGTACATTTACATGTATATGATCATCTGTCATGATGTTCTAGTACATGTATGCACATGATGATTATCGATATGGAGCTACATGTACATGTATTCGGACTAGATTCTGCTAGTGGGATGTACATACGAACAGACTACTCTTGGGGTTATAACTTATAAGCAAAAAGTGGTAACATGAAAAATGCATGAAGCTTAAATTATATAAAAATTGGTGTTTTATGATCCCTTGGGTCAGGAGGCCCTATGGTGTTTGCAGGTAAGGGTTTTTATTTTGCGTGGGGAGAGTAACAAAAGCATCTCTATCTGACTTACATGAGACCCAGAAGACCAGCTGAAAGCAGTAGGAGCCAAGTGGATGTTGACAGCCAACCAGCCTCTGACACATCTGACTCCATTGCTTGTGATGCAGGGGCTTCTGTCTCCATTATACGCTACTGAGCTACACAAACGGTGAAATGTTACCCTGGGACTGTGATGTGGACAAAATAGCAAGACCAGTGCTCTCCAAAGGCTTCACATTGCCTGGCTGTAAGTCATCCAGTCCTTCTTTTATACACAGCATGCACAGGAAATAAAATAAAAAAGATTTCAAGTGATTGCATCATTCTGAAAAAATTCTTTGCATTGGCAGTCTGAGTAAACAACCACTCAGACTATACACCGGATCAGTAGGCCCTGCAAATACAATAGGGCATACCGATACCGTACATGGTACATAAAACCATGTACTTGACCTTTGAACACTGCTATCAAAGGCTGTGTATTCTTAGCTGCCCAGTCATGGTTTCCAGACCAAGGTCTGGTGTTGAATCATACCAGGCAGTGGAGTAGCCAGGAATTTTTTCAGTGGGGGGGGGGGGGGGGGGGGGGGGGGGGGGGGGGGGGGGGGCGTCATGTAGATCAATGATAATTTATTTAGAAACTCAAAATCTCTGGGGGGGGGGGAGACTGGGGGGCGACAAGGTTTCATGGGGGGGGGGCTGTCCCCCCCCCCCCCCCACGGCCACGGCTAGCATATAGCATCATTCCTGCAAATTCCTCTATTATTTCTTGAATATGGTCCGAATTCTGCAAAATCCTGCGGCAGTGACTGGCAATATGTTGGCTTGGCCAGTGACATCCTAGAGCAGTACGGAGGATTTTAAGCATAATGCAGGCTTTATTTATGCATGGCTGAGCAAAAACAACACAAGGTCCGGCCAAAGACCTTGACAAAGTGCATCCTACGATATTAGTAACGCACTTTTGCCATGTAACATCGATCCTTAAAATTCCTCCACCTTGGCAAAGAGGATTTTGAAGGATTCAGGGCGGTTAGGGTTAAAAATGCAATTAGTCAGCATGTATGTTTCAGGATATCATCATAAATGATGACCTGGGAATAGATCAGCAACGCTTCATATTTGGGTCTGTCAACACTAAATGAAAAGAAGTAGGCGACCAAAACTGGTGATGGGCTGGTAACAGGTTTTTATTATTGACTCCGGTAATGGGTAGTGTGGCACTATGTGTGTGCTGTGTGGTACGTGTGCTAGGAGTATGTGTGTGTGGTTCTAAAGGGTAGAATAAATACAAAGGGGAACTTAATTATAGTCGTGTTCCCTATACGTGGCGCACTTCGAAGCTTACCCAACTTTCCTCGTGTAGTGTTGCCAAACCTCTTTGTTGATAAACCTCAAATTCCTGCAGTGAAATACTGGTACTTTTACCTTTTTAATGCTTGCTATTGAACCTCTGTGAACAATTTCGGTTTCATAAAATTTAATCCGAAATGCAAAAAACGGTCGCGTCCGGAAATTGGGCACAAATTGGCGGAGTGTTCCCTAACGTGGCGCACTTGAATAAATCTCAGAAAATTCCTAATTAACATTTCAGAATTTCTGTAAACTTGATAAATTCTGATATATCATTATTATCTTTACTTACAAACCCAGCCAGATGTTTGTCAGAAAATTATTTTCTTATTTTTCGGGGCATTTTCAAAGGGTTCACTTTGCACGCCAAAATAATTTTTTCTTTTAATTTTGTAACTGGTAAATAAACTCGCGATTTATGAGCGGGAGTGTTTAGAACTTGATGAAATTTCACTTTCTGTGAAATTTCAGTTAAAACTTTTGCTCTAGCTAGGCGCTACAGGCGAAAAATAAAAGTGCGCCACGTTAGGGGCCGCGCCACGTTAGGGTACATCAACAATACTATGTGCACAGGCCTGAGTAACCCTAATCATATAATAAACATTAACAATATACATGTAAACACGTGTGTGCCCATAATTAGACTGACAATAACATGTACATGTACATAACATGTCTAACATGACCACAAATATGGAGGAAAATGGCCCAAAATACTTATTTACAACCCCAAACATTGGTATATAGCACGCGTTTGGCATGTAAATTCCATTATGTGTAAGTACAGCGTAAATTGCAACCCAAAATAGACAATAAACATGAAGTAAATCCCCCAAATATCATATCTTAATCAACCAAAATGGTACTCACTTTCTGTAATTCACGCACAGAGGGTATTTATAGTGAACCTGGTAATTGGGTAATTAAGGCAATTGATGATCAGGAGTCAGAAACGGGGATTTTACGGAGCAAGAATCAACGGTAAACAACGTGATTCGATAGGGATTGGATGATTATAACAGCTTATCACAAGAGGGCGCTGTTGTGCGCTCTAGTGGCAGAGACGCTTTCGCACAGCCGCCCCAAAATTTCATTACTGGACCAAGCCCAGTCTAATGTGGCTTTCGCGAACCCGGGGTTCCCGGGTTTGTATTCATGAGCCCCCTACTAAGATAATGGCTATTTAATCAGTTGACGACCATAAATATGTTCGCACATACTAATAAAACAGGTGGGAGTGCAGTGGTTTGTCCTTGATAAACAGTCAGGCTATTCCAAATGTATGTGCGTCTGTTGTCTAGAGCCAGCCTGCCTCCCATCAGAATTTGAGTGACGAGTGATGAGCCAGTTAAGTGCTGGAAAGCTACCTACAGCTAAGAAAGCCACATTAGACTGGGCTTGGTCCAGTAATGTTTTGGCACAAAATGTATGGAACAGAAAGCATCGGAGCCACTACAGTTCTCACTCAGAGTCCATTAAAGGGTGGAACCTCGTTTTCTTGGTCATCCTGGACTGATTCATCGCTGACTACTGGGAGTTGTATCAGGCGGGCAACAGGGCGAGTGCAGGTCTTCTTCCGAACTCTCACGCTGGCGGTACGCACACGACCATCTGGACCAGGGAAGGTGATGACGACTCTTCCGATGGGCCACTGGGCTCTACTGAGAGCAGGATCCACGATCATGACAACATCATCGGTCTTCACCACTGTGCCATCTCGTCGCCACTTCTGTCGTACCTGCAGGGAAGGTACATCCCGATGAAGCGAGACCAAAAGTGATCCGCCAACACTTGGCTATGCTTCAAGTGTCTTCGGCTGAGTAGGTCCCTTGCTGGGTAGACAACTTGTGGCAGCGATGGGTCATGTCTTACCATCAGCAGGAGGTTCGGGGTAACTGGATCCGGATCGGCGAGGTCGGAGGAAACATAACCCAGCGGTGTGGAGTTAAGTATCCCCTCGATTTCGATCAGCACGGTGCTCAGGACAGGTTCGGGTACGGACTGACTGAGGACGACTCTCAGGCTAGCTTTAATTGACGGGCTTTATCTCCCTCTCCCACACGCCACCAAAGTGTGGGGCCTTTGGCGGGTTGAAGACAAACTTCACTTGGTGTTTGGCAAGCTCTTCTTGCAGGCTGGGCTCCATGGCAGAAAATGCCTCCTTTAACTCAGCAGCACCACCTTTAAAGTTGGTGCCACAGTCGGACAGCATCTCGAAGGGCTTTCCTCGTCTGGACACAAACCTTCTGAAGGCTATTAGGAAGGCATCAGTGTTGAGACTTTCCAACAGGTCAAGGTGTACTGCTCTGGTTGTGAGACATTTAAAGATAATGCCCCAGCGTTTCTCGGTGCGTCGCCCTCAGTGTCTTGATTGTCTTAGGCCCGAAACAGTCGACGCCAGTGGAGCAGAATGGCGGCTTGTACAGACGCAGGCGTGCTTGTGGCAGATCACCCATCTTTGGTACGTCAGGATTGGCTCGCCATCGTTGACATCCGAGGCATTGGCGCTGATGCTTGCGAATTGCCTCTCGTCCTTGCAGAACCCAAAACTTGCGTCGCATCTCAAGAACACGCTCCGGTCCGCAATGGAGTAGCTTCTCATCATACTCTTGGATCAAAAGCTTGGTGACGATGGGATGACGGGAATAGTTGGGAATGTCTTCTGCATGCCGTAGCGCCCATCGACGTGGATGAGACCAGTGGAATTATCGTACTCAGCTCAAGGAAGATCCCTTCCAGCCTTAAGAGCAGCTAAGTCATCAGGGAAACTGCCTTGCTGAGCACGGCGGTGAAGGCGCAGCTCGATGTTGGCTCTGTCTTCAGCACTCAACTCAGGTGGGTCGCTATCGTCGGCCGCCCCATCAAGAGACTTCTTGGTAGCCATGATAATTAAGGTGTTCCCACTTGTCATACTTGGAAAGGTCGGGAGGATCTGCAGGATCCACAGCCACAGCACCACAGAAGGTTGTGAAGCCGGGTGGTCAGGAGATAACAAGAGGAACGGGGTCCATCTCGCCATCTGGATTCTTGGGCAAGCGGCAGGATTCGGACTTCAGCCAGGTGAGGACAGTTGTTGAGTCGCTCCACAGAACAACATCCTTCACAGGTAGACTCAACTCCTTCTGAAGTAGCTGGCACAGCTGAGCACCCGCCAAAGCAGCGGATAGCTCCAAGCGTGGCATGGAAAACTGTCGTTTAAGGGCAACTCTGGACCATTACTGGACCAAGCCCAGTCTAATGTGGCTTTTTTAGCTGTAGGTAGCTTTCCAGCACTTAACTGGCTCGTCACTCGATCGTCACTCAAATTCTGATGGGAGGCAGGCTGGCTCTAAACAACAGACGCACATACATTGGGGATAGCCTGACTGTTTATCAAGGACAAACCGCTGCACTCCCACCTGTTTTATTAGTATGTGCGAACATATTTATAGTCGTCAACTGATTAAATAGCCATTATCTTAGTAGGGGGCTCATGAATACGAACCCAGGAATCCCGGGTTAGCGAAAGCCACAATAGACTGGGCTTGGTCCAGTAATGCTAGCCATGACGAAGCTCACCTGGATGTGATGTTGTTTATCTTCTACTCAAAGGTAGGCTACAGCACCATAAACCCACTCTGATGCATCACTAAAGATGTGGAGTTGGTAGCTCGCTGCCTCAACATCAACAGTAGGGGTGTGTAGCATCCATCCAACCGGATGTCGGACAGTGCTGGTAACTCCATTTCCCAGGCTTGCCATTGGTCTCTGATTACTCCAGGCTCCAGAACGTCGTCCCAGTTCCTCTTGGTTTTCCACAGGTGTTGGACGATCACTCTAGCTCGGGTAGTGAATGGGGTGAGATAGCCGATGGGGTCATACTGGCTTGCCAGTATTTTGTACATGTTCCTCATGTTAAGGGACTCGTAGTTGACTGGTCGGTGGCGGTAATGCAGTTTGTCTGTGCTGCAATCCCACTGAAGTCCAAGAGTGGCCTCAAGAAAGTCAGTGTCGCCGTAGGTCAACCAAAGCTCGCAACCATTAGAGCGAGCAGAGCGAGCATCTGGGGGAAGATCCTCTACTACTGTAGGGTCATTACTGGCCCACTGACGTATCTCGAACCCGGCGTCTGCCAGTACGTCTCTCATCTGGTGGACCAGGTGCTTGGCTTCTATGGATGAGGGTAGGCTGTCCAAGCAGTTGTCAACATAGAATGACTTGTCGACAGATGCCGCCACCTCTGGATACTGCTCCTTGTGATCGCTGACATGCTTCCTGAAAGCGTAGGTGGCACAGCACGGGCTACATGTTGACCCGAAGGGAAGGACCTGCCATTCGTATATCTGTGGTTCGGCTTCGACCTTCATGTTTCGCCACAGAAAGCGAAGGAGGGGCTTGTCTTCTGGTAGAAGTCGCACTTGGTGGAACATCGCTGTGATGTCTCCGGAAATGGCTATAGCTTGTTGCCGGAAGCGTAGAAGCACGCCAATGAGGGAGGCACCCAGAGGTGGTCCAGGCAAATGATGATCAGGAGTCAGAAACGGGGATTTTACGGAGCAAGAATTAACGGTAAACAACGTGATTCGATAAGGATTGGATGATTATAACAGCTAATCACAAAAGGGCGCTGTCGTGCGCTCTGGTGGCAGAGACGCTTTCGCACACTATGTTACAACTGTGTGACATTCAAAAGCAATTTCCAACTGTAAACGTTTTCCCTTGTTTTTTGCTTGCACATATCTTCCCTCTATAAACTTGTTAGTTCGGAAAGATCAAGATAACTTCAAGAGCAATATTTAAGAAGTTATCAATGTTTAATCTTTAAGATGTAAATGTTTGTCACATGGACAGACACTTTTCTTTCACTAACCATAACTTAAAGCAAGATGACCAAATTCAGTAAAAGTGTATGCATGCGGGCGCACTTCAGACCAATACTGAATGACAGGCAACAACCTTACTGATGCACTTTGTCAAAATTTGACGCAAGCTAGTGAGGGCACAATTATCACAACCCATGACGTCATCAGCACAACGCTTTCGTGAACAATGGCAGCAGAAATTTGTCCGAATTCAACCCGATATTACAAGATAACTAGACCTCTGAGGGTAATGAATTCAAAATTTTTTGTGCTGACAAAATAATTGTGATTTCAATTTGATTTTTTTGCTCCCCTAGCAATGGGACCATCCATGCCCAGCCCGGTTCTTATGAGGGAAAAAAAATCCACTTTAACATTATTAAACCGACCAAACTAGTTGGCGACATTCTCAATGAACAGTTACATGTATGTCATAGATAGAGGGCAGGGTTTTGATTTTTTGAGGGAAATTTTGGGGTCAAATGACGATGACGACAACACGCAACCCCAAAAATAAAGATGGTGATCACCGCACGAAGTACCGTGAGCACGCACGGCGCGCTGTATCGCAAGGCACAAACCGCGTAGGAAAGTCGTAATTTTTACCCCAAGAAACTGTTCAAAAATTTCCAAAAAGGTGTCAAAACATTGAGAGAAGTCTGTTTTAGCTTGACAATGTCATTTTTTGGAAAACAATTATTGGTTCTAATTTGATCGAAACAAAACAGGGGCCCTACACTACACGATAGCCCAGCCTATAATCCTTTATGTTCAGGCAGCAACTATTTGTCAACCAGGCACTAGTCGGTTTTGCCTGGTACCAAGGTTATATTTTTGTTCATAGGTTACGGCCCAAACGTGGCATTAAATAGTCTGGCAACTTGTTGGCCAAAGATGGTATATCTATACCATGTTAATTACATAATCAGATGACACGATGGTCGCAACGAAAAAGATTTTGTGCACTCTGGGATTTGCACTAAAAAAACCTTTTTTCGGGTTCAACATGATTGTATAATAAGAGAGGATCCTTTGCTGCACAAAGGATTAGCCTATAGGCTGTGATAAGTGAGTTTTTGCTTGTAATTTTAACGGACATGGAAAATATCGGCCAAAAACGTGACTATCACCTGATCTGCATTCTAAGTATGGTTATACGTAGTTCCAGC